TTACTGTAGAAAACTCTACTTGAAACCCCCTGTCGCTCTCCCCCCCAAGGAGCCTTCGAAGAGGAGCAGGGAGGAGTGCGGCGAGTGAAAGGTGGGTTGGAAGCTGCCCGGGAAAGGGGGTGTGACAAAGGAAGAAGGTGAAATGAAAAATCACCTTCTCCCCCTCTCCCCTCCTCCAGGAGACCGCTTTGGATCCGCCTATGGAATATAGCAGCAGTAGTTGGTAACATTATTCTTCTGTTTCAACTTCGTCAAGGAGAGAATATACTCTTGTTCCAATGGTAAACTGGTATTGGCATATGCCAAGGCAAACAGAAGAACCTTGCGAATGCTGATATAATTGGGCGTTCGATGAATTCGCTGATAACATACAATTCTGATTTAACCATGGACAGGGATCTCCCTGAGCATCTCGAGCAGCACCGCTCGGAAGCATACTTAGTGCTGATGGTGGCGTAATATCACAGTACGAATTCTGCAAAAACCACAATATAAAGTGCTTGAATTTTTAAAAAAAAACCGCATAGTCCGTCTTGACAGAATGCAAAACGTGGCCTAATTTTTCCTAATAATTTTGATAACCAATATCACTTTAATAATCACTATCACTATTATCACTATAAATTATGATTCGTAACAATGATGTTAATAAAAACAAAAGGAATATCAATGTTGGTATTCTTATTGATGCCGAAAAGAAAACCAGCACAGCTAAGCTAATGATCCTACAATGGAAAAATGCTTTTTTCCGAGTAAAATTTTGTTTTTTTTCCGAAAAATTCTCTTTTTTCCAACTCTTTTTTTAAAAATTTCCTTCCGGAGTAAGTTTTGATTAACATTTAATCAGTTGTTATCATTTAAAAATACATCTGTAACTTAAAATATTTGCTGTTTTCTTTAGCATACATTTTTATTCGAAACAAACAATTGAAAAATTTTGAAAATTTTAAAAAACTTACAAAATTTCGAGAAAAATTTTTGTAAAATAGACCTGTTCGATGGGTAGCGGTGGCTGTACAGGAAGTGGCTGTGTTTGGCGAATTTGTGGAGAAATAACATTGGCTGGCGTAGGATTCACTGTTACAGGCTGTGACGATGATTGCGCTGGCGCTGCTAGAGCATCTAAGCGTAGCGTAGACATATCTGAAATAACAAACCTGTGGGTTAAACAAAAAATGTAACGTGTATTCACAAAAAATGCTAGTTTTAAGGTTTTCATCAGCAATGTATTACGAAAAATAGGCAAGGATTTTTATGGTCAGTCTCCAAGCACAAGATGTAAAAAAAGAAAATAAAACGCTAATTGGTAATTAAAAATTCAGAATCGAAGGCCTTGGCCCAACAGCAGCTGGGGTAAGGGGGGAGCATTCCAGTAACATCACTAAGATGGGATATTGACACCGATCGTTCTGGTAGTCTTAGTATTTTTGATATATTGAAGAATCAATTTAATCTGACATAATAAAAGTAATGTTCAAAAACCAAGAAAAAAAATTAAAAAAAAAGAACCAATGTTGCCAATTCCTGATGATACGATGCGTTCGTAGTGATAT